TTATTCAGCTCATAAAAATACATGATGTGGTTTATTTTTAATCAGGTTAGAAATAATCAGAAAAAATACACTTTAGATTAAAAAAAATATTTGCTGGGAAAAGATTACTTTTAATTTATCAAATTAGTAAGTAATAAGTTTGGACACAAAGTTTACTACAAATCCTGTAACGCCTCTGTCATTCTCCCAGTTAATTATTCATGTACAAAACTGCTAAATATTTGACCTCTACTTTAGTGAAGCCACTCCAACTATAGAGATGGGCAACTTGTTTTGTTTTTACTGCAAACCATAGCCTCAGGACTATGGAAGCCCCACAGGAAAGACTTGAATAGTCTAGTCCTGAATCAAATCTATTTGTTTTAAATGATGTTAAAAGGTTAGTGCCCATATGACCTTTTTTTTTTTTTTTTTTATCTTTCCCCTGATATATTCAGCCAAATGTATTTGGCTGAATATTTACATCTTCTGAACAATATCCCAAACTCAAGGCAAGATTTAGAACAGTGTTGTAAATTCTGTTTGTTTTTATGCCTGTTTATTCCAGCCCAATGTATCAATGATATAAAAAAGTTATAAGAATCAAACACTGATTGGTTGAATGTAGGCAATGTTTTGTTTTTGTAAGTTTTTAAATATATTTTTTTAGGTTAGAAGGTTAATTTTAATCAAAATTTACTAGATAAACAAAACAAAATCTAACTGAAAATTTTAGTTATTTTGCTTTTTCACTTTTTATTTAAAAAAGATTAATTCCAACTACATATTTTAGCAATAAATATGTTTCCCAAAATGGAGCAGACAGTGATTGCTGCAAAAAAAAGTACCAGCACTGAAACCATGAAGGAAATTTGAACACAAAAGGTGAAAATAAAGAGGTTTTGAAAATGTTGGTAATCCAAAAAGCTTTTTTTTTTTTTCTTTTTTATTAACCAATAAGAATGTTTTGTAACACTGCATCCCTAAGAGCAGCTCCCAATATGTGCAAAAACTAAAAGGATAGGAACGCAATTTTACATCAGAGGATGCCGCAATCATCCATCAGTGATATAAACACTACAGCTTTACAAAAAAATAATAAATCAGTCACAACTGTTCCTCTGTGATGACAGAAAGGCAGTCATGGGACTCTTGTGTTTAGTTTAATGTCCAGTTTTATGCTCCAGTGCGTTTTGCTTCCTTTAAAGCTGCTCCTTGGGTCCTTCCTTTATCCTCTTTCTCATTTCTTCTGCATGTTTCTTACTTCGCTCCCGTTTTTCAAGTCTCTATGAAATGGACAGAGGAAGAAAGCGACCAACAACATGAAGTAAATAAATAGTTTTGACACACTGATTCATAATTAGCAAAAAAACAAACTGACAAACCTCTTTCTTCAGACAATGACGCATGGCCCGGTCCATGTCATTACACGTGCCAAAAAACTTCATGACGTTGTGCTGATGGAGGCATGAAGGAGGTTACAAAGTTTAGTTTGCATGCAAGAATCACAGTGACAAAATGAGCTTGAGAGTCATTTACCTCTTTGTGGCACTGTCTCAGGAGGCTTATGAGTTCATTGCACTCATCTGTGTGCAGGTGGGGTGAAAGGTCAGGGTGCATTATGAGTTAAGGAGCCACAGCAGCTGTGCTGAAACCAACAAACAAGAGTAGCACTAATGGTAAGAACATACATCTGAACAACATCTGCATAATCCTACAAGAATTCCCTAGTAAACAGTCTTCAAACGCATGGATAGGTGGATCTCCCTGTCACTGTTTTTGGTATTGCTTTAGGTACTGTGCTGTTAGAGGTTTTCTAAAGGATACTAGTGCCTCCCAATCCCTCTCCATCTTGACTGGTCATTGTGACGACTGATTTCCCTGTGGACACTTACCTGCAGAAACATAGAAGATGAGGATACAACACTATGTATATATATATGTATAGATAAAGACAGTCATTAAACAGTAGTGAACTGTGGTCTTAGAGAGATCGTCCTAGTTAACATGACCATTTACCTACTGAGTGACGCTTTCCTCCAAATCACATTTAACATGGCTGTGGAAGACTGTTAAGCAGCAGTGCCAGACCTTCTATCATTAGTGGTCCATGTGCAACAGTATAAATTGGTCAATTTAAATTAAAAAATGCTTTATAAATCCGAAAGGGAAATTAAATATATCAGAAAGTTGAAGCAGTACTGGCATCACTGTTAACCCTAACCCATAACCTACTCATAGCCAGGTCAAACTGACTGCACTTAGTTAATTATGCAACTCTACTTCATGTTTCAGTTGCTGTAAAAAAATGAAATAAAACTGTATCCCATCCATAACGAATAAAAACAGGGTAATCAGGGACCTCATACAAACAAAATATCAGTATGTGCTGACACAGAAAAACAAACATAAGTCTAAAATGACCATGGTTGCGTTAAAACTGAAGGAAGTTACAAGTAGGAAAAAAGTTAAACATTTAGAAAATAACTAAATGCACAGTAAATAAATTACACCATGCCTCTAAACTGGGGAATGTTGGCCTAGTGGGTTAGAGCAGTGTGCTCGTGCTCTGAGAAGGTTGCAAATACCCAGTGTTCTGTCAGATGAGCATACCCATAGTCAATACCTGTTTATCCCTTTAGTTTTGTACAAAAAATAAACTTTAAACTACCTCAACGGGCGTGCATCCCTTTAGTCATGTACATTAAATGCAACGGTAAATTTCTCCAATGTGAGATCAATAAAGTTCAATTATTTATTTTTATTATGAAACTCAATCTAAAAGGATAAACATTAGGACCAGCCTTTGATCCCAAGGAGGCCCGTTAGTCCTTAGAAGGTTAGTAAATATAATAAACGGTCCTGAATAGGCAACATAAATAAGTGAACACACACACTTTCAGGCAGTGGTGTACAGGTTGCCAGGTACATGTCTTTTAAATAGTCACTGTGAATAAATGTGTTTCAGTTTTGTGAGATGACTTGAAACAAAAATATCCGGGGAAAAAATGCCACTCTACGTCAATCATAACTTTTTGATGGCAGTTTTGTCCGAAGGTTATGGTCGTTCTTTCATTTTTTTCTGAATTGAATGCAGTCAGCTGTGGGTACGCTAGTTCCTCCATTAACAGATCACAGAGCTACCTGCTGAAGACATTGAGATGTTGTAATATAGTGATAATATACTTCCACGCACGGGCGTAACTTTCTGAAGGACCGGTGTGGACATGTCCCCACCAATAATTTCTGCTTTTTTCCCCTTTCCACTCATTTACTTTAGCCAAAGAGGTTGGCTGCAGCTATCTGTGTTCAGATTGTTTTGAGTCTGATTTTTTTCCCCTCTCTCCCTCCTCTCTGTGTGACATCATGAGATCTGTCGCTTTAAAACATCTGATTTGCTTTCAAATTTCAAGTAAAAGTTAGGACATTTTTTATTTTAATTTTTTTAACTTAGAGATGCCACCAAAAAATCTGTTTGTTAGACATATGCAGCTTTTTCAGCTAAAAATGGCAACAGATTGTAAGTTTCTACAAGTTAGTGTTATAATGCAAGAAGCTTGAGACTCTCAGTTACAGGTTAAAATGAACACAAGTTTTCTTATTGTGCAGACAGAAATTAGACTGCGAAGCTCTACATATCTTGAAATTTTGTATCTGGCATCATTATATTAGTAAAGAGGTCCATAAATCTTTTTAAACAGAGCACAGAGAGAAATAGATAGAGCAGATTGAAAGTGGAAGCAGGTTTAATTACATATGCAACATGCAAAAAAATATATCTTCAAGTTTACCAGAAAGTTTACAAGAAAAGAGATATGCTATATTTAAAATGCAGCATATCCATATTTTACTGGATGGATGTAATTGAAATTGTACATTCAAGGAATGCATGATATCGATTTCAGCATCAGAATCAATTTTGGTCGATATATACTAAAAGACATCTCTCTAACTGTCAATAAGTATAAATATTAGTGTATTATGGTTCTATTGTGTTCTCAACAATAGGAAAGCATTCAGTAAATCTGTTTGAGCTCATTTTTGGAAAATACAATAAGCTAATCAAAGCATTCAAGTGGAGTAACTGTAGATCCATCAGCCTCCACCCTTAGAGCTTCCCCACCAACTTTTATTACAAAGTTACACCCTTGCTTCCACGCTTTAAACTTTTTGGTCCATATACATTCATTTAAACGCAGATTTTTAGAAACTGTAATTCATCTTTATTCGGCAAAGTTAAGGAGCTATTCAAAGACACTGAGAGCTGTCAGCTAAATCAAACTTACCAGAGATAAAGCTGTGTCATATGAGAACTGTTCCAGAACACCTCCGATGTAACACGTTACCTAAATGCTGAGCATTAGCTAATGCAACACAGGCCTAGGTTGGCTTTTACTATTTTAAAGAGGAATTCCTCTTTTTTTAAAACCCTAAAAACAACTAATCTGGATCTCGACGCAATTCCTGACAAAGGTCAAAAACCTATTCAATGTGTGTAATGAAACGAATAGTCTCCTTGAAAGATGTGAGCCTGTAGGACATTGCAGCGAGTCACGCCGCTTTCATAACATTTGGAGCGACAACCTACGTCACACAGCGAAACAACGAATCAGCTTCCGATCTTATTTATTATTGACCAATCATGCGCTTTTTTTTAAGGGAGGGTGGGACTGTTAAAACGAAAGGTAGGATGGTTACTCTCTACATGTATCCGGTTTTGTATCACATTTCACATTCGTGTTAAAACATAAATCTATCGTTTGGAAATATTTCCAAAAACTTTATTAGCCATAATCAGTCAAGAGGTTCTTTCAAAAAGTAAGGAAATACATTTCATAGAAAATATATAGTAAATACAGTTACCAAAATTCTGCATTTTTATTTATAATTTCTTGAGGACATTTGGAACCTTTTTTTCTTTACTTAATTGTGAACAATTAGACTGAATTTATCTAAACTCATGTTTAAACTAACAGAAAACGTGCTACTGACTACTTCAACTTACAATAATATTACGTTTCAAGCAGAAAGAAAGAAAGAAAGAAAGAAAGAAAGAAAGAAAGAAAGAAAGAAAGAAAGAAAGAAAGAAAGAAAGAAAGAAAGAAAGAAAGAAANAAGAAAGAAAGAAAGAAAGAAAGAAAGAAAGAAAGAAAGAAAGAAAGAAAGAAAGAAAGAAAGAAAGAAAGAAAGAAAGAAAGAAAGAAAGAACATTATTTTTGGTTTTAATTATCATTATAGTCTTTAAAAATACCATCATTTGCACCTAACCTTACATAGTGGTCCCTCTGTGACATTATATTAAATATCAGATGTTTTGAGTCACTCAACACTTAAGTAGCGTTTCTACCATATATGTTTTTACTCGTAATTGTCTAATTTATTGGATGGCTATCTTTTTTATAATGAAGTAGTAGTAAACTTACTTGAGCACAATTTGGGGGTACCTCAGCCACCTCTATGAATGAATAAGTATAGCACAAAAAAAAAGGTTCACACTACTTTTTTTATTTCTGGAGTGTCTGTTTTTCTTCTTTTTTCACGTTTTCCTCCCCTAGTGTTGTACACAATAGATAAAAGTGCAGCACCACTCCGACGCACCAGGCGGCGCTAAAGTACAGTGAGAGCTTGTAGTTGATTGGTTGATTCATGCTCTCCCTGAAAGGCGGTTGTTTAGACTGTCTTCGGTAGCTCTCAGTGGCTAACGGGGTAGTTTGAACCGAAAAAATACAGTTTTATGGTATATGTGTTCAGTGTTGATTGTTCCATAAGAAATATGAATGATTCTGCGAAACGCTCCCTGCAGCGGCTGTTGCGACGAATCCCTTTTCGGATGCTGAAAACCTCTCTGGATAAGTGGGAACGTCTGACGGCAGAGCAGCGAAGAGCCATAGATTTAACTCCAACAAAACGGGACTTAATACAAGAAATACTCTCCCTTTGTGAGGTACAGTAAAACCTCTTGCACTGAGTAGGTTATATGTTCTTCATTTTTGAACAAATTGTGGCCTATATTCAGGAAAAGCACACAGTTTATGGCAATTTGGTAAATGTATAAAGGTTCTCCATTAGCCTTTGCCATGGCAAACTCCTAGTCTTCATAGAGTCCATAATAAAAACATACAAAACAAAAGCACAGTCAAAATATATTACATTTCCAAAAATGTAATTTCTTAACACATGTTTTAGAGATAGTTGATGTTTTATAGAATAAACAAAAGCAAAAGTAAAATAAAAACAGACAATAAAACAATAACACTTCAGGACATTAAGTGATGTCTCTTTTTAAAAGATCATTTGCTATGAGTGCAGCAGATGTATTGAGGTAGATTATTCCAAAAACACAATGATCTATATATAAATAATCACTTTACAGCATTGCTCTTGGGTTCTGGTTAAACAAGCTGTCCATTACTGGAACCTCTAGTGTTGTGATCATGAACAGAGTTACTAAAAACAATTTGTGAATGTATAAAAGCTGGAACATTACTAGTCATGACTGACTTAAAGAGGATAAGTGTATTTAAAATCAGCTTATTCTTTACTGTAAGCCAGGAAGGTCAGCCATGCATCTGGCTGACATTAGATCTAATGGAGCAGCTCAGTGCCAACCATGCTGCCTTGTTCTGAGCAACCTGGAGCTTTTTGTGTTCACCCCTGATAGCAGATGTTCACACTGGAGCACAATAGTCAAGATGACATAAGACCAGACTCTAAACTATTTGATATAAAAGGGGACGGGCCACAAAAGTGCAGTATTTCCTTGCACTACTAATTGCTATCCCCATTTTCAGAATAATATGATTAATTTGGTGAATCTGATTGAAAAGAAGAATCTTTTATTTTTACAGATTGGTGACATTTATCAAAGCTTCATATTCAGACCAGTTGAAATGCTGCAGCTCCCTAGTTTTCCATGTACTCATCATAAGATGGCATCAATCTACAAAAATGTGTCTCCACTTTAAGCAGTCTGAGTCTTCTTTGATTTGAGTTTATATTTGCTGTTAGAAGTTGATGTTTTGGTTTCTAACTTTAAAATTGTCTTTACAGGAGAACAAATGGACTGAAAAACACATTGCAGAACTGCAGATGATATGTAAGTACCCTTCAGAAGATGCACAAGTCATAGGCAAGATCTACTGTGTTGATTTAATCACAGTAGAGATCAAACTATAGGGAGTCTGATGTTAAATTTGCCGAGACGCATCCAATGTGGAAGAACGTGCTTTGGTAAAAAGAGATCAATTCCAAACTTTATGGCCTGCATGGAAAACTGTTTCATAATCTGCCCATCTAATAATCCTTCAGAGATAAGGAAGATTTTTTTCTGAGTTTTAGATAAACCTTATAGATTTTTATTTATTTAAAAAAAGGAACTACATAACACTTAATTTTCACTTCACAATGGTGAGCTAAACTTTCGTTGCACTGTCATATAGTAAAAACAGAATTTTTCCACAAACTCTAGACAAAGGGTGACTTTGTCAGACATGGGATGTGAAGCCTGTAAAGTGGCTTGTTTTGATTAGAATGATTAAGGATTTGTCAGGAAATATGAGTCCTTCTTAGAGCCATACTTAGAAACCTGTCGTAAAATCTTTATTGGTGTTTGGCGAAAAAACAGACGGACAAATGTCTTATCCTTGTAGTTGGTTGGTATTTTACCCCTCTGTTGTTTTCTTGTGACTTTTTGCTCATA